GCTCCCTGCGTCGCTGCTCCCTGTCCCCGCATCTCCTCGTGTGTGCAGAGATCTATAAAGTGGAGCTGTCGTGACCATCAATTCCGGCTTATTAGCCAACCACATCACTCCCTCTCAGAGATTCCTTGTTTTTCTCTCTAGTGGAAAATGGCTCAACTTTGAACAAGAATAGAATTAAAAAGGGAGATTTTTATGGCTTAATTTTACAGGAGAATGTGCCTCTTCTCAAAATGAGCAAGAGCTTGCTCTCATACCGTTAGGCGTCCTCGGGCAGCTTCCACACAGGGCTGGTCACACCGGCGTGGCTCCTGGAGTTCCAGTCCTCTGGCCCCGCTCTGCAGAGGCCGGTGTGCAGGGGCGGGAGAGCGGCGCAGGGTCTTGGCCATGGCAGGAGTGGGTGGCCCCATCCTGGAGGGTCCAGGTGCTAGGCGAGGACATCTCAGCGGTGTGAACAACAGAGGCAAGGCCCACGGGGCCAGTGCTGGGTTGACGGCCAAGCGAGTGGCTGGACTCTGGAGCAGAGACACTGGGCTTGGGCCCAGGGCAGCCCTCTCCCAGGGCAGCTCGTGGAGGTGTGGTCCTTTTGGAGGACTGGGCTGTAGCATGAAGGCCTCTGCCCTGAGTTCGGTATCCCATGATGACGATGACGGTGTGACAGGAAGCATGTGTCATCTGTCTGGCATGCTGGCATGCTCTCTTCTCCCTCTTTTTGCCTTCTCCCCTCAGCAGTGTAAGTTCTGCATCCGTGTTGAGAGGAAGATGAGAACCGTAACTGGGTTGACGTGGCGTGTCCCTGTGTGCTGGGGAACACGAAAGGGAATTTACTCACCCAATGCCAATGGAATGGAATGCCCACTGTTGCCAGACACTGTGCGGGGCAGGGGGCAGGCGGCTGTGGGAAGGGCCAGGCTCTACCTTCAAGAGCTGTGGTCTAGGCACAGGGCCCCACCTGCCCTGCTTTTCTTAGGACATTCAGTGCTGACACTGGGGAGGTCCTGGGAAAGCAGGACGAGTCGGTCACCCTGTCTAGTCAGGATGGCAGTAAGGGGATGTTTCTTGTGGCATTTGGTGGCAACAAGGTGCTGGTTGGGAGGAAGGGAAAGTTTGCTAAGTATTTCTTTAATGAAATGTCTTCTGTTTGCCACATGAGATAAGAGACCCTCGATCTTGCAAGGGAAGGCTTCTAAGTGATGACTTCTTCCTCTTCCCTTATTCTATGACCAAGACACAGAGCAGAGAGGTCAAGTGGCTTGTCCGCGTTCATGCAGTGAGGAGGGGCAGAGCTGGGACCAGCACCTGAGTGCCCTCATCTTTCCCTAGAAACTATGCGGCCTTCTCAGCCTTGTCTTTCTTATCCCACCCACTCTTCACCTGTCTGCTCACCTGGACTCCTGTGGGTCAGGTGTGGACAAGCTGACAGCTGAGGGAGGGTGTGAGTGATGGGGAGAGAGGGGCACACCGGTGTGCTGCCACTGGGAGGCCCTGAGCAGTTCCTGGGAGAGAAGAGAAAAGAAGGGTGTCAGGAGGTCAGCATGTTGGGCCTGGAGGAATCACTTAATTACAGGGTAGAGAAACTGACAACTTCAGGAGACTGAATGCGAGGAATTAGGGCCATCAATGCAGGGGAAGGGAGGACAGGAGGACAAGAGGCTGCCTGGGGGTGAGAGGACCTGACTCTCCTTCAGGGGGAGAAGGTTTGTAAGAAAAAGGAACATTCTAATATCAGGGGCATGCGCATGTGTGTAACATGTAGGCTGTATGTCAAATAAGCAAACCTGTTGCCTTTGCTTTATTCCAAAAGCACTCCCTGAACACCTATCGTGTGTCAGACCATGGTCTACAGTCGGGAGACAGCCTAGTACCCAAACAAAGCCCCTGCTCTTGGGAGGCTTCATTACCGTGGAGGGAGACAGTAAACAAGTGCTAATATGATGCCATATGGTAGGTGTTCAGTTGTGGTCAAAAGAGTTTTCATATGAAAACTTTATGTTCAAAAGTCTTTCATGTGCTGGGAGGCCAAGGCGGGCGGATTGTTTGAGCTCAGGAGTTCGAAACCAGCCTGAGCAAGAGCGAGACCCCGTCTCTACTAAAAAATAGAAAGAAATTAATTGGACAACTAAAAATATATAGAAAAAACTAGCCGGGCATGGTGGCGCATGCCTGTAGTCCCAGCTACTCCGGAGGCTGACTGGGCAGGATTGCTTGAGCCCAGGAGTGTGAGGTTGCTGTGAGCTAGGCTGATGCCACGGCCCTCTAGCCCGGGCAACACGGTGAGACTCTGTTTCAAAAAAAAAAAAAAAAAAAGTCTTCCATGTGAAAATTGCGATCAGCAGGGTTTAGCTTATAAAACAAATATGACATTTTGATTCTGCTTAGAGAAAGACCATCAGGAGACCAGCTTACGGGGACCGGCGGCTCAAACCATCGTGGCTGTTACTGGGAGAAATTAAGATTGGTCCCCTCGGAAGGGGGAGAGACTGGGTAATTACATTCCGAATTAAGAAGGGAAGAGAAAACACCTGGGCACAACCCAGAGATCTGGGTAGTGAAACCCTGAGAACTCAGAGGAGCCCCCGGGGACGTGCAGAGAGACACGGGGATGCAGGCTTTATTGCTGGTGTTTAGTGGGGAGGACAGTGAATTTGTACCCGTATAGTGACCTTCTTGGGAGCTACCCATTATACTTATATGAAAGGAGAATAAAGACCATGTGCTATTTGTTTTAGCATGTATGGTATTACTTTTTAAATGCAATTAGCAAGTTTGTGTGTGTGTGTGTGTGTGTGTGTGTGTGTGTGTGTGTGTGTTAATATGAGTCTCTGTCAGTTTTCATGCCTAGGGAAAGCCCAGATGCTGGTCTTGATCACCATAAATAAGTACTAGCTAGAATAATTATTTGACTGTCAACCACAAATGTTTTAATTGCTGTTATAAAAATTGTATTCACAGCAGCAAAAAAAAAAAAATTGGAAAGTGTCTGATGAGCTTAAGAAGTTATTCCAGTCTTTCTCCCTCGTTAAAATTCCTCCCTCCACCTCCCTATCTCCATCCTTTTACTGCAGTTAAATAAGCTGGTCCCCTCCTCTCGGACCACAGCACTGTCCCCTCGGCCCCACAGGACATGTGCATGACTCACTGCTGTGTGCTCTGCCATTTAAATTTCTGATCCAATCTCTCCTCCTCAGAGAGGCTTCCTGACCCCTCCTTCTGGAACAGCTGCCACCATGCTGTCCTCTTAGCCCAAGTTGCTTTTCATCTTAGCACTTGCATGGAATTGTATCATTTCTTTGCTTCCATGTTTATCTGTTTCTCCCGTCACAGCATAAGCTCCATGAGGACAGAGACCTTGTCCACTTCTGCTCTGCCCTCAGTGCCTACAATAGTACCTGCCTGGTGGAAGAAGCTCAATAAGTATTTATTCCATTAAATACAAGAATGAGTGAATTCTACACCAATCTGTTTAACTTGATGGTTTTATTAAAATTCTAAGTATGAAGTGGATTTGGGAAAAGGCTCAACTCATTCCCCCATCCCCCTCTGGTGAGAGAGGAGAGCTGGAAATAGAATGGGAGAAGTTTCTGTAAATTTCTGGTAACCATAGAGACGGTGATTTTAGTTTATTAATCTCATGCTCTTAAGCAGGCTGGGGCCCCATGGTGATTTCTCCAAATTGCTCAGTGCTGGTTATCCCGCAGCCTTCCTCATTAACGAAGAGCAGGCCCATTCCTATCCTGCAGCACTTTAATTACCGACAAGCTGGAGCTCCATGCTATTATGCTCATGATTGCGTGTTCTAACCTGGCCGCGCCCCCCACTTTGGAGCAATGGCTTATGGTCACCAGCCGTGGACCCTCGGAGCCTTCAGTGGCAGGTGGTGGGTGAGGGCAGCCTCCTCTCCAAGCCCAGGGCCTGGGACAGGGGTAATTTCTGCCCTGTCCTTTCATTCAACTATACTGAAGAGGGGAGCTCAGTGCCTCTGGAACAGCATTTAGTTTCAGGCAGGGAAGGGCATTGGCAGTGGTTTCCAGCAGTGGTTTCCTACCCACCAAGGCTATGCTTGCAGGGGAGGCAGTTGCCCTTGGGAATCATGGCACTTATTGTCTGGCCTCTCGTGAGGTCTCATTTCAGCATTGAGGGTTCCTCTTCATATGAGGAATGGCATGCAGTCTTCTATGAGTTTGCCTCAAGTCCTTTGGGATTTGAGAGATTTCCAAATGGCTTCAGGGTTTCAGTGGGGCAAGGGGGAAGTGGGCCAGTTAGGGGCTGTGTCTTCCATGGCTATTTATCCTTTGAGGAGGAACTCTGGTGCAGATGTCAGAAGACCAGAGTTAGGATCCTGTCTCTGCAGCAAACTCACAGTGCAGCCATAGATGAGGACTCAACCTCTTTGCAACTTGGTGTCCTCATCTGTGAAATGGGATTGGACTTGGTCCTTCCCCCCCGTCATTAGTGTTGAGACTCTGACTCTACCTCCAACCTGGTTCTGGAAGCTGGCTCCCTGCAATGAATGAGCAGCAGGGAAGGCCCCAAGCAGTGTACCTTCTGGAGTGAAGGGGAGTACCAGTCTCTGGGAGGAGACTTACTTCTCTCCTGAAGCTGGATGCCTAAGGTCTGGTCTCACTCAGGTGTTTGTTGCCATTTTGGAAATACTAAGACTTTACTTTGGTTGCATTTTCTATCCCATTGGATTTAGAGACATTGACTCATTCTTCCAGTAAACACTCAGAGACTACCCTCCAACTACCATATGCTGCACAAGGTGCTCATGTTCAGCTGGAATAGTCACTGACAAATTCACGCTCAGTTGTGGGGCACAATGGTTATGGGACTTTCTGCTGCACGCTCAGGGCATATCTTAAGTGTATCAAAGAAGAGGCCTGGGGAAGAATCTGGACCCCAGAGCATGGATGAAAGCTGGAGCCAAGACGTGGGGTGGGTCAGTGCCCGGGTGACTGCAGCTGAGCCGCTGACAGATCTAAGAGCTTGGCCCTTCTTTTCAGGTGCCGCAACCTCTCGTTCCCTGACAGCCTGCCGGAGGTGAGCATCGTATTCATCTTTGTCAACGAAGCGCTCTCGGTGCTGCTGCGCTCCATCCACTCGGCCATCGAGCGCACGCCTCCACACCTGCTCAAAGAGATCATCCTGGTGGATGACAACAGCAGCAACGGTGAGTGTCGGAGCTCCCTGGGGCCCAGCCCCTGCTCCCTGGCTGATATCTGAGTGGACAGTTCAGCGTCCAGATTCTCATTTTCTTTAGACTCTCTGTAGCTTCTCTTTCTCTGAGGTGTCACCTTGGAGATGAGAAATTCTCGGTGGCCACTACTTTGGAAGGTTCACTATCATACGTGCACCCTCTCTGCCTCGTAGAGGGGCCTGGTCCTTAGGCTTCTCCTCACTGGCTGGCCACTCTCTCCTCCCACATTTCAGTGCAATATGACAAGGTAGAAGGCCTCACCAACTCCTCTTGTCCAGCCACCACCAGCTACCTGTTTCCCTTGGTGCACATTCCTTGGCCTCTGATTCTCCCCAGCCCCATATACCACTCCCATAATATTTTCCAAACTTGAAGACCATGTTTTGAGACAGTTTAAAAACCAGTGTTCTTGATAGGACCGTTTATATGGATGTGCCTCTGATAATGTGTGATTTTTCAAAACAGACTGCTGGGCCTCACTGTATCGCAGAGTCACGGAGCTTGTGTTATCTCCTGAGCCTTCTCTCTTGTATCTGGTAGTAAATTTCCCAGTGATTCTGTTGCTGTAATGAGAAGTTCAGATGGGCAATTTGTGATTTGTTATCAATTAAAGCTGAAACATATCAGATAATTGGAATGTATTTAATCTCACAAAGCAAATTTTTGTTTTCGTTCTATCATCATGTAGTAAGAAGTGCAGGGCAACGCTGCGATGGGGATTTAGAGCTTTCTGAAGGGCAGTGCTCAGGAATCGCTTGGCTCCTATTGTTCAACGAATGTGAAGGAAGGAAAAGCCATCAGGGATGGCAGCAAACAGACCATGTAGCTTTACAGGTGGTCGTCCATGATGAGCGAGGCAGGAAGGGGCCCAGCACCTGTCTCTGATGGCTGCCTACTGTCACCCAGTTGGGGACCCACAGAATGGATGCCTCGGAAAACCCGATTCCCTGGCAGCTGACAGCAGACAACCTGACCAGCCCGCCCCTGCACCCCCCTCGGAAGACCCCCCCACTTGTTACAGTGTAAGGAGGCACAGGGAGGAGGAGCCATCCTCCAAGGACAAGGACATCCCCAAGCAAGAGCCATCCCTAGGCCCCATTATGCACGTCCTAATGTGACAAGAGAGGTGAGAACAGAGCCCCAGGAGGAGGCAATCTTGGAGCCTTTTGTTTCCTCCCTGTGGCAAGAACATTCTCATGTCCTTGAGGATGCCATTTTGTCTCTAAGCCATATGGGAATAGCTGACATTGAGTTTGAGAAATTTAGATAAAGAAAGTGAGTCAGATATAGAGAATTTCCTATTAGGAAGTTAAAGAGTTTGGACTTCATTTTGTAAATGGCAGTAACCACGGAAAGCTTTTGGTTAAGGAGGAATTATGGGGGCAGAGCTGGGCAGTGGAGAGATTGGGACGTGCTTTATGATATTGGCTGGGGAGAGGGGCATCTGGAAGGAGGGAAATGGATGAGGAGGCTGTTGTGGCAGCACAGACCAGATGAGAAGTCAGGGGCCTGGAGTGGTGGTGGGTGGGTGTGGGCACTGAGGGCAAGATGTAGGCCTGACAGATGTCATGAAGGGGGACCTATTGGACCTCTTGACTAAGAGGACATGGGCAAGAGCCAAAGGAGGGCAGGTCAGTGGCGACTCAGAGGAGGGTGGTGCGATGGTGGGCAGGAGGAGCAATGCGTGGGCACAGGAGTCCTTTGTCAGGGATGCAGATGAGAATCACCTATGGGAGCTTTTGAAGACAAAGCTCTAGAGGGTCATGGTGATGGTACAGTTAAGTACCTCACTCATGGTGGTGGTGACACAGAGCTGCACATGTGATCAAACTGCATGGAGCTATACATGCACATACAAAGGAGTGCCTGTGTAACTAGAGAGAGCTGAACAAGCTCTGTGGATTATAGCAACGTCGATGTCCTGGTTTTGATATCGTACTATGGTTGTGGAAGATGTTACCATTGGGGGAGGCTGGATGAAGGCTGCACGGGAGCTTCCTGTACCTTTTCGTGAATCTATAATTCTTAATATTTCAAAATAGTAAGTTGAAACAAACAAACAAAAAGCTCTCCCAGAAGATTCTAAGTAGACATCACTGTTTTAAAAAGCATTCTTACTGTTTCACAGATCTGGTCGAGAAGCTATAGTTTAATGAATAAGATGTAGCTTCCTTTCTGTACATGTTGAGTTTCCAGTGCATGGTGTGAAGGGAAAGAACTCTGGACTGAAGTCTGAAGTCATGGATTCTAGGACCCTCTCTGCTGTGGATAAGAGACCATGGAAAAGCCCCCACCCCCTCAGGGTCTGTTTCTCCCTCTATGAAATGGGGATGACAGTCTGCCTTGCCTACCTCCCTGCCTCCCCTGTCTGAAATGGTAACCTTTGTGCCTGACAATTGACTGTGGACAGTATTGCCTTCCCATCTCCCACCCCATTCCAGGAGATGGGCGCGTAGCCAGCCCACTGCATGACCTTGCTCAAGATAGCAAAATGTGTGAATATGGATTTGGAGTCTTGTGTACGGACTAAGTAAAGCCACTGACTGGGGGGACAGGGTGTCAAAAGAGGAGAGGGAGAACATAAAACAGAAGCTTAAGACAGTACTGAGTGTAAGATATTTGGGAGTCAGGAGGAAGAGGGTTAGCAGGTGAGAGACAGAGAAAGAACGGTGGGGAGAATCTGAAGACATCACAGTGTCCATGGATGGAGAGAGTTCTGGAATAAGAGTCATCTATTCTCATGAACCCACAGACAGGAGGAAGGACATGAGTCCGAGAAGAAGCCCCCAGATCTGGAAGGTACAGATCGTGGAAACCTCAGCGACAAGCCTTAGCGGAATGTTGGGGACAGGGGATGAAGCCAGATGAAGACGAAGAGCTGGCAGTGAGGGGAAATTTTCCTGTCGGGGATTTTGACTGTGCAAGAGAATCACAAACTCAGGCAGGAACTGGAGCAAAGTTTTCCAAAAATAAAAATAAAAAATTACCATAATCTATAGCAAGGAATGCATTTACATCATGGCCCAGGATGGCACACACACACACACACACACACACACACACACGAATGAAACAAAACTTTTAAGAAAAAGTACTTCCCAGTGTAATGTGCAAAGCACTCTGCTATTCTCCATTATATTCTGTTCTAAGCTATTCAGTTCTATTGTGTTTTATTTTATTCCACTTCTCTCTTCTTGCAAAGGCAGGTTATTCTGGAGACCCTGAAGGCATATCAGAATCACTTGGAGAGCTTTTAAGAAATTGGGCCCAGGCCTTGCCTCTAGTGATTTAATGGGATTTAATCTAGTGATTTAATGAGTCTCCTGAGGCCGAGGTTTGGAGCGGGGCCTCTGAGGAGGAAGAAGAAGAGGAGACCCAGGGCACAGAAGCAAGATTACCTGTGGCAAGAAAGGGCTCATCTTTGTCACGCTCAGGAGGGACACTGGAGGTAGTGAGGGTGCCGCGGTGGGTGTGAGTACAGGAGCAGGCTCAGCCCCGGCACCCGTGGCGGGCGGGGCCTGGGGTGGAGGGGGTGGACATGTGGGAAGGGGTCTGGCGCGGGCTAGAGTGCCCCTGTGTGGAACGGGGGTCCCCAAGGCCAGCCTGAGCGGAACTCTTGAGAGGGGAGAGCTCTTAGAGGAACGGATCCCTCTCGAGCCTTAGGACACGGCCGAAGGCCTCCGCCAGGCTCAGCCTGACTTGGAGGAAAGTGGCCATGGCCAGGCCCTGCGCAGGCTCCACTTCGGGGGCTTGCTTCTCTTGGGCTTCCTCTCAGTGTGCACAAGACTTTCACTTATTTCAAGTCAGCTCAGTTCAACAAACACTTCTGGAGAACCCAGCCTGGGCCAAGGGCATGAGTGGATCGATGGATCAGATCTAGTCCCTGCTGTCGCAGCAGAGGTCTGCGAATAGATACAAAATGGGGATGCACCGTCACAGGGCTTGATTTCCAGCCTCGTTCTGCCACTTCCTGGCCATGGGTGCGCAGGCATCAGTTTGCTGATGCGTCGTGTGGGGACAGTGGGCCCTGCCTCGCCCTGCCTGGCTCATAGTCACTGAGGGTAACGTGAAGTAACAGGAGTGAAGGTACCGTGTACACGACAGGGTGCTCAGGGTGCCCTCAGGGTGAGCGAAAATGACAGTGATAAAAATAACAACAGCCACGGTGATAATAATAATGACAATGGCTGACACGCAGCCACTGTTTAAAAGCAGCGTGTTCTGGTGGGAAGAGCGCAGAGTTTGGCATTCGTCCAGTGTCTGAGTTCCAGCTCTTTCTAGCTTCCTGCTAGCTGTGTGTTCTTACCCTCTGCGAACCCTATTCTCCTTATCTATAAAATTGAGATGTATAATTTCTACCTCAGGGATTGTTGGGAGGCTTGAGCCAGATAACACGCGATGGAAGAGATGTTGGTGTTTAAAACTCTAACGTACGTGGGAGGGTAGAGCTGTCAGAACGTCTTCTTTCCTGAGCCTTCCTTCCCAGGCATTCATGACGGGTCCGCGTGTGCTGGCGCCTTGTCTGTCCCCAGGCCCTGCTCAGCCACACGCACGCTGCGCTGGAGTCAGGCCTGTGCTTTCTCACACACAGCGAAGAGGTGGTCAGTTACTGCTGTCTCCACCCGGTCCTCTCTAAGCAATCTCTCGGGAGCCGGAGGCTGAAGTTTCTGCAAGTGGTCCTTGTGTAGGAGTCCTGGTCCCTGTTCTCTGCCTCCTCAAAAACTTCCCAAGAAAGCTCCACTTTTCCAGGGGCCGGTTCCCGTGTACCATGCTGTCCCTCGGCTGCAGCAGTCTCAGACTTTAGTGTTTGAGCTTGATTAAAAGAATGGGGGTTCGTACCAGGCACACTCCTGTGTCAGGACATTGGCCCCTGCTGTTTCCCCCACCTGATGCTCGTACCCCCACATCTGCACAGCTCTCTCCTTTACCTCTTTATGCCTTTGTTTAAATGCCACTTTCTCACTAGGGCTGTC